AGGGATGCTGAGTATTACAAAACCTCTTCATGGTAGAGAATCCCAAGGGAGATGGAACCAAAACTTGGGAGAACTAAAGGTTCTTCCAGATTACTAGAAAAAGTCAGAGGGTACCAGTGTGTGCACAGGTAATGCTGAAAATAGTACAAGGAGGTGTGACAGTTGTGCTTGAGTGACCTTCAAGTCCAAGGTTTACATTAGAATAGAAGAGGTTGGAGCCAAGAACACAGTAATGATGGTCACTGGATGTTTGCCTCTGAATGAGGCTGGTGATTGGCACTATGGGGGGTTTTCAAGGAAGACAGTCATGGTAAGATGTCTAAAACCTATAGTGTGCTCCATAAAGTTATCTTGTCCAAGCTTTTACTCAGATGATGAAGCAGCCACATTTATTATACAGTTTATTGATGGGAAATGTACTTCTGTGTATGTTTATCTTATTGATTGTTGAATAAAACACTGTTTGGCCAATGGCAGCAAGTTAGGCAGGACTAGGAGTCAAAGAGGATTCTGGGAAATGTAGTAGAGAAGTGGTGTTCCAGGCAGGAAGTGACATAGCAAGGAGACTCATATTTAAGAAAGGAGAAACAGGAAATGACCCCTTTTCCCCTTCCTCCTCCAGCGGCGCCATGTGAGCCACAGCCAAGAGAGGGTGCCAGCGAAAGGCATCCTCTATAAGATAAGTCTTATAAAATATATAGATTTATGATAATTAAGACTGAGCTAACAGATGAGAATCTTAGTCATTGGCCAAGTAGCGTTTGAACCTAATACAAGTTTCTGTGTATTAATTTGGGCCCTAACTTGGGCCGGTGGCTGGCATACAGCGCACACGTGGCAGTGGGGCTCAGCAGCTTTTGGCAGAAAGATTTATGGTAACAGTTGATTTATTCCTTTCATCCTTTGTTTTCATTTACTTAGTGGATACTTCCACCTTCGCAGTAGATTGTGAATGATGGTCCACTGGCAGTCAAAGTAAGAGTAAAGAAACATGACATTGGCCACCTCTCCTGAAGCTCTGCCAAGTGGTCCAGCATCTCAAGGAGGTGAGATGAAGTCCTTGAGTGCCAAGTGATAGCAAATACAATGTTGCCATCTGGACAGTATGAATGTGTAGAGAATAGCATGTCTTACATGCCTATTTCTCAGACATAGGAGTGGAGATGTTTATTGGGGCCAGGAAGGCTGGTAAGTGAGGCTGTGTGAGGAAGATGTGATTATTAACTGTAAGAGACACTATGTTCTTAGTCCAACCACAGAGGGATGCAGGGAGAGTTTCCTTTGCATGTCCATCTCTCAAAGGATCCAACTTTGTTACAGACTAAATTAAAATTCAGTTTCAGCTGGGCCTAGTGGTGCAAAACTCTAGTTCAGCACTTCTGAGGATAGGAAGGGTAGCTACAAGTTTGAGGGCAGTCTGGGCTACCATGAAAATTCAAGGTGTGAGGTCAGACTGGGTCACATGGTGCAATCCTGCTTCAAGAACAAAAAGCCAAAACAAACAGACAAGAAAACAACTAACTTCAGCAAGCCTGAAATCTTATCTATGCTAGTGTTCCAAGGGAGCAGCTTCCTTCAGAGATTGGCCTTCCCTGGCTGGCTCATTTAGAGACCAGTTCCTCCTCCACCCCTTACCTTCTTGGCCGCCTGCTTTATTCTTCTGCACTCAGCTGTATCTGGCACAAGTCATGTCATGCTCACAACTTCATTGTGAGTCATCTGGTGATTTTTTATAGAATATCAGAGGAAATGGCCTTGTTCATAGAGGAAACCCTAACATTGGAAGAGTGTGTGGCACAGGAAAGAGCCCCATCCTGCATATGTATGTCGATGACAGCATGAGCTGATGTCTACTTGTAAACAAAGTCTGACAGCATTCAACTTTCAGAGAACTCAGGTTCTACTGTGCATCCCACATCATGACTGTTAGATTTCAAACTCTGGAACAAATAGCTGAAGTGCCTATTGAACATATCAAAGCAGACCTGGCAACCAGGTTCTCCCAGCGTCCTTCAGTCCTTACCTGTTACAGCGTATGGCCAGCATACTCCATACTCTACCTCAACTCTCCAGCCTAGGGGTTGGTCTGCCCTTCCCTATATAATACAGGCATTTTGGTTATCTGCTCCTTTGCACCTTTTCTCCTGATACACCTGGTTACCCTCTCTCCCCTCCCTCTTCTCCCCTCCTGCCTCTGCTCACATGGCTCAGGGCCATGTCCACTTTGGATTCTCCCAGATACCTCTGCCTCTGGGCTATGCTCTCCCTCTTATCTGCAACGAACTTTCTCTTCCACTGTATCTAGAAGCAGTCATGTCCTTTTCAAATTTCTTTCTTTTTTGTTCATTTAGTGGCACACCCTTTCCTTGTGTTATGCAAGACACCTGAGATTAGAAGCAAGGTGTGATGAACTCAAAATGTCACCACCCAGAAATATGAAAAATATTCTTCAGAAGGAAAACAGTATCTGCAACTTTAAAAATTTTGGCTGTTGCAGTTTCACTGGGGGGAAATAATTCTATATTTATATTTATATTTGGAGGATGTAAAATATACTGTATAACTTCATTAACTATGCCAAGAGTTTCAAGTAGCTGCTGAAAAACAAAACAAAACAGCTTTTGTAGAAACCATACTGATGGGGACCATAATGGGTTTAGAAATTTACATCTTTGGGAAATTGGTGTGTGGGAACCATAGAGAGGAGGAACTTTTTAAATATATTTTAAAATTTTTAAAACATTTAAAATTTTATAACATTTTAAAATATAACTACAGAAAGGCTTAAAGCAACAGAAGATATACAGATTGGTATACAATATATCTAGTTCTGCATTCAATCTTAGTAAAGACCAGCCTGGATATACCATTTATTAATGTCTTCATCAGAAAAAAAGAACATAAAGATTGGCCATTTTAGAAAGGGGAATGTGGGTGTATTGGGGGAGAGAAAAATTTGATACTTTGTGAATGCTCAGCATTTGTTTACTTGAAGTTATCCACTGTCCACGAACTCATTCAATACTGAGAAATGGGATTATGCAACTCAGTGAGTTAGTAACAGGACTCTAAAATAGGGAGAAAGGCAGGGCAAGTATGGTGCCTACAGGGGCAGAGTTCCTCATGCTGTACTCTCTCCAAGTGTAAATTGTATTCTGTTGTTCTACAGAGAAACAGATTAGGTTTTACCACACTTGCAAAACATAGTTTTCAACACTCCAGAGTATTATATCTGGTTGGTATTTTACTCATTCTGTTGTAAGGATTGATGTTGATTTTACAGAAATGATCAAAAATAAACTCCTGCTAAAAATCATTAATAGATGATGGATCAGGCCAACGTGTTCAGTTATAACTCAAATTGTCAGAGTACTAATGATCAGACAATTATAGACTCCAAGGCCCTGACAACATACCCTGAACCAGGGGCGCTTATGTAACTGTGATCTGTGACATGCAAGCTCTGTGAGGGTACACAAATGACATACAGACCCCCAAGAATTCTTGGATTCATGTTCTTAAACCTTGAAGGAAATTTAAAGTCAGTAATGTTCTGTACTACAAAGTATAAACATGGATGGGGGTGAGGACGCTTCTTTAAAATGTGCTCATTTCAGTCCTTTCCAAATGGCCATTCTAGAACAGCAGATCTCTTTGGGGGTGGGGTCACATACAGATATCCTGAATATCAGATGTCTAGATCACAATTCATAACTCCAGCAAAATATCAGTTATGAAGTAGAAATGAAATAATTTTATGGTTGGGGTCACCAAAACATGAGGAAATGTGTTGAATGGTTGCAGCGTTAGAAAGGTTGAGAACCTCTGCTCTTGAAGAAGTATCACACTCATCACACTTGAGTCTAGGGAGTCTTAGAATTTATAGCTTCTTGACTGCTACGTATTCTCGATCTTTCTGTGTACCTCGGGAAGACCCACTTTTTAAGTAGAATAATAATGAATTACTAAGGGAAAACCAGTTTTAAAATCACCTTTCTAGTCCATAGATTAACAAATATTTACTATTTAAATTTTTTATTTAAAAATGCATTTCTTATTTCACATACTAATTAAATATCTACTACACAACTGCTGCGTATCTATGTGGTGTGTGTGTGGGAAACTAGTTTAAAAATATGATCAAGTTGAGCATTCTCAGGGTGGGGGGGAGTAAAAATGGAAATGGAGTTAGAAATGGCGACGGGATCAAAAGTGGTCGAGACCAGGCTGGAGAAACCCACAGAAACAGCTGACCTGAACAAGGGGGAGCTCATGGTCCCCAGACTAACCTTGAATCTGGGTGTCAGTTAGGAGGCCTCGGAAATCTATGGGGCCTCTTGTAGTAGATCAGTACTTACCCCTAGCATAGGAATGAGCTTTGGGAGCCCATTTCACATAGAGGGGTACTCCCTCAGCCAAACACACTGGGAAGGGCCTAGGCCCTATCTCAAAGGATATGACAGGCTCTGAAGACCCCCTATGGAAGGCCTCACCCTCCCTGAGGAGCAGAAATGGTATGGGATAGGTAGGGCGTTAGTGGGGGGGCAGGGGAGGAGGGAAGGGAGACGGAACTGGGATTAACATGTAAAACAATTTTGTTTCAAATTTAAATAAAAATGAAAAAAAAATCTATAAGAAGGATTTTTAAAAGTTGTTTTAAGAAGAATCCATTAAAATAACTGTTCATTTCTTCAAGAAAAAAAAAAAAAGGCAGAGAAAGAAGGTTCACCAGGTGAAATGAAGTGTGGTTTCATTTACAGTTTCTCAAAGGAATTTTATCTAGCGCCCTCTTCCTAATGAAAACCATCTGTTACTGAATGTACATGCTATTATTGAAAAAAATGTTTTAAATATATGCATACTTGGCAGCTGAATAATTTTTTAGATGGACATTTAACCAAAACTGAATATTAAACAATTTGAAAATCTTCCACAGGGGTTAAACAATATCATCAGAAATCAGATGGGGCAAAAGCTTTAGAGATCCCCACCTACCGTACCTTGGCCACTTCCTCTTGGAAAGCCACAAGATTCAAGTGAGAGATGTTCACCAGGTCAGGCCCATACACCACGGTTATCATGCGCTGCTCCAAGTGCCCGATGTTCCCAACATCCAGAAGTTCACGTAACTTGGGGTCCTGGATAAGAAATGTTTAAGAGGTAGATTATAAGCAAAGATTCTAACATGGTAGCATACCTTTAAATGAACTAGAAGCAGAACTGCCTTTTCCTAAGAGGAACTTGTAGGAATGAAAGTATTCCATTCTACAATGACTAGAGAGGTAGGTAGCTTGTCAAAGAGCTGCAGGGGAAAACTCTCCCATTCAAGACCCATGGTTTTCAGTGAAGTGTCCTTTCTATCAGACAGCCATCCTGCAACACATCTGTACATGCTAGCATTCTCCTTTTATTTCCTTCAGTCATCTGATGAGTTAGTTACACATAGAAATGAAAAATCTCATCTATCTCCTCCATTCAGGGACATGTTAAAACAAAAAAGGAAATTCTTAGGAATAAAAGTGTTTATGCCTACTGCAGTCTAAACAATAAAAAAGCCTCTATAAGCTATGAGTTGGTACTATTGGAAAGTGGTAAAAAGTTAGGGGGTGGGGGTGAGATGCTTGGCTGGAGTTTTCTGATCTTTGAGCGTATCCCTCAAAGACAAAACTGAGTCCTGTAGCTCTCTTCTTCCTCTCCTTTAGTCCTTCCCGGTCATGGGATGAATGGGTTTGCTTCTGCTGTCCTCTCATTTCACCCACTAGATACTCAGGAGCAATAGGTCTTCTCAGGCATAGACTGGAACTCTAAAACATGAGCTGAAATTAGCCTTTGGTCCATATAAAACCAATTGCCTCCAGTATTTGTTACAATGGCAGAAAGACACCTGGGGCAGAAACATGGCCAAGCTTCTTGCCATGGCCCTTTCTCAACACTGAGTACAAATGTCAGAGACAGGTTGTGAGACTGAGCTTTGCATACGATAGCTTAAGTCCCTCAGTCAGTGTGTTCTGGGATGTGGGCATAGGGGATGCCTGCCATCTTTTTAATGAGCAAGCCTCATTCTTTGGCAACACTGTGAGTAAGTATCCCTCAGAGATACAGTTTTTTGGTTTTGCCTTTATTTTTTTCTGGGAAAGGGAAGTTTCCAAACTCACAGAACTCAAAATAAGACTGAAAATAGGGCTTAGTCAACTTGGCTGCATTTCTTTTCCTCCCATAGGACAGCCCTGTAGGACTTTTCAGTCCATGCAGAAAATTTGCATCAAATCAATCACTTAGCAAATTTACTGCCAGCTTCTGAGCAGGACACGCTTGTATTTCTATTTATTTAGTGAAACACCAGGCCAACAGGGCTTGATTACCGACGCTGGATTATTCTGGCCTCCTTCTGGGCATTTTATAAGGCCTTACAAAGAAAGAATGAAAAAAAAAAAACCAAACAAACAACAAAACAGAATAAAACAAGCAAAACCTTTCCAGCTAAGTTACTCACTTGGTAACATTGGTTCTCTCTCCACTTAATAAAACTTTCCCCTGTGTGGTTGCATGAAGAGGCACACTTTTGGGTAAGCTATGGGAAACAAGCCTCATTTTCAAGCTTGCCAAGTAGAGCTGAAGATTTAATTCCCGGACAAGATGAGAGCCTATCAAGCCATGTGAAACCTCCTGGAAAATGAGCTGTTTCCCTAAAAGTTATTGATTCCATAACCCACAAAAGGAGAGGTACAGACTCAAATAACTCCAAATGAAGATGGCAAAGTGGGGGATTTCAGCACTTCTAGAATCAATAGAAGATTAGAAGGACATGGTTAATCAAATTCACCAGACACCACCAGCTCTTCTGGGAAAAGATTAATTACATCATAGTTTTCAGACACCATAGAGGCAAATTTAGGAAGTTAAGTGTGTTTGATCAATACTTGTATATGTGGAAGAGAATAACACTTCTCAGAAACCAACTAAAACTTGCATAATTCTCATGTGCAGTGAAAACACTTTTGCTTACTCACTAAATGGCTCTTGGTGAAGGGTTTCCACTTCCTGGGATTGCAGAGAATACGTGTGGGGGGGTCAGAGGTTCACGTGACATTATTGAAATAGAGGAACTAGAGGCATGTAAAGTCTCTCGAAAGGAGGTGCTTAAAAAGAAAATAATGATGGAAGTACTTCCAGAATTCTGCTATGAACAGTATTTCTACTAGATACAGTCAGCAAGAATAGAGAAGAAACACACCATCTTTGTAAGTTTTACTACTAATAGCTATTGATACATATTTTAAAAGCCCCTTGGTCTTTCTGTAATTAGAGTTGGTGTCTGGGCTTGGGAGATGAAGCAAACTGTGAAATGGGAATTGATAACTGAACTTGAATATTGGTGAGTCCATCTGGAACTGTTCACATTTGTAACAAATTTTTAAATGATTTTTAAAAACAAACTAGGAGAGTTTAGATTAGATTGGAGATATATTTTATCAATAGAATTCTAATAGTTTACAATCATGTAGTTTAGGATACAAAATGCGAAATGATTTAAAATACCTAACAAGAAAGTTGTGTGCCTGCCAGAGAAGCTACTAAACAAGGAGGACCCTGAGAGAGACATACATGGTTCCCTGGAGAAGGGGAAAGGGTCAAAATCCCCTGAGCAAATCAAGAGCACAGAAGAGGGGGGAGGGTGCTACGAGAATGAGAAGGGAAGAAGAGGAAGGATGCAGAGGTCATGAGGGAGCAGAAAGGTTGAGTCAGGGGAAGAATAGAAGAAAGGGTATGTGATAGGTAGGGTTTTAGTTGGGGGGGGAGAGGAGGACAGGAGGGAGAAGGGAACTGGGATTGTCATGCAAAACAATCTTGTTTCTAATTCAAATAAAAATGAATACAAAAAGGAAAGTTTTGTGCTAACATTGACTTTTTGATTTGGGAGTATGATATTTTAAACTATATTTTACTTTCTTTTAGACCATTGCTCATTTTAATCCCCTCTGTACTAACACCATAACGTGTTAATGTGGAATATGACTCATTTGTCAGCATATCTACACATGAGGGGTATGCTGATAAAGATACCCATCTCTTCAAATACCACAGGCTATCCCCAGTGGCTTTTTGACCATCAGACTGTAAAAAGGAATAACCTGGAAACACCAACTGCATGGGCTTCATCGACAAGGACCTCACAGATAAAAAGAATTCAATGAGCACAGAGGACTTGATACTTCTGGACTACAGTGCTGTAGGTCTGGGAAAATGAGTGGTTGTGTTCTAAAAACAAACACGCAAAATCAAAATTGTACCTATAGTACAAAGTCCTGTCAATAGTTTGCCTGAACTACTTTGTCCTTTTTTTTTTCTCCCAAGCAACTTTATGTGAGTCTCAAAATCCTTGATAAGTTCCTGGAGACAATTCGACGCCCCAGATTCCAGAGCACTTAAACATGTGGATTTGTAGACTGTAGATGCTTTTAAGAAGAACAAACTTTTCGTCAGCTCTGTAAAGCTGTTTAATGGATGTATCAAAAACTAAGAGGTGGGGTGAGTTTGGAATTTAACATATTTCAGCTATTGTTCAAGGCTTACTTTCTGTGGATAATATTCTTTTTGTGTTTCTCAAGTTAGAGCTAATCAGGACAACTAAGAACCCTGACAATTTTCACTTACTCCCCAGGTTATCTCTGTTCCTGTAAGAATTATAAAACAGAAGTGGTCTGGCTATGCAAGTCCACTTTTTTCTCAATCATCGGGACTTATGATTAAATGACTTCATGTTCATTCTAAAGAAATCAGAGTTTTGCTCTTGGTAATATCTGCTAGTTTTTGCCATTCACCAGTAATTGGCTGTTGGAGAAGTAAAGGCTGTTCTACACCTAAGAAAGGTGGACTTAAATATGACACAGTTATTTCATTATATAATTTAGAATGTCACAGACAGATGGAAAATTAAATATAAGGTTTTATAATGAATATTAAATATCAGTTTAGATCTTCACTACTTAATCTGACTTTTAAAGAAAAGTTATTTTATTTGTAAGTCAAGCTTTTGCAAAACAATGCTTCTCTGGATACTGAGGTATCAGGAATCATTTGTTTGGTATAGAAAAAACACCTATCTTAATCACTATATCTTTATCAGATTTTAGGCTTATTCAACACTCTTTGTATGAATAAAATTCTGTCCTCAGCACTTAATACAATGTTCTGAATTTGAATTATGGTAATCCATCATTTATGAGAAAGGTTAGACATGTGAAAGTCTTTTGATCAATACTAAGTGTAATAATTGTAAACAGAAAGACATATTCCTTGATACAGTTAAATGAGATTGATATAAAAATCATGTACATGGCTCAAATGGCAGAAAAATAAAACAGCACCCACCAGTCACTTTCCGAAAGTGATTTCTTAAGTCAGTTTATTAAAATATAAAATAATCAATATAGTAAATCAAAATAGGAAAGAAAACATGAGCTAATGACACCAGTTCCCTTTCTAGGATAAATGGAAGCTAAAGGGTCATGTTCATTGGCCTTTGGATAGCCACCTTTACTGAAAGTATAAGTACACAAAGTATATCAGATTTTCAGAAGTTAATAAGAAAGTTGTTAGCATCTTCCTTTTCTTGTCAGTATTTATAGCTAGTACATCACTCATGTTATAAACTGCCCCAACCCTTTCGGCCTTCTTAGACATCTGCAAACTCCCAACTGCCAGCAAAATTCTTCTTTAACTTTGCTTTTTTAGATTTACTTATTTTATATATTTGACTGTTTTGCCTGCATGTATGAATGTACACTGCATGCATGCCCAGTGCCTCAAAGATCAGAAGAGGGCATCAGATCCCCTGTGATCAACCCTGTAGGTTCTGGGAATTAAAACCTGTCTTCTAGAAGAGCAGCAAATGTTCTTAACCTCTGAGCCATCTCTCCACCCCTGCCAGCAAAAACTGATGTAGAACAACATGAAACCCCCCAGGCTGGAGGGGAGAGGTGCACACACAGTACGCAGTTAGGAATTCTGTGTTCCTTCATGTTTGAGGCCCCTTCAGAGAGGGTGAAATACATCATTGTCTCCCTCAACCTGCAGGGAAGTCCATCTACTTGGTAATTTTCAGTATCCACATAGTTTGGTAAAAGCACACATTGAC